GGGAGCTGGGTAGGTGGAGGGCTGGGCTTGGGGAGGCAAGGCTGTGCAGGTGGGGAGCAGGGCTGGGCAGGGGGAGGTGTAGGGCTGGGCAGGTGGAGGGCAGGGCTGGGCAGGGAGGGGGAGGGGGACAGCTGGGCAGGTTGGGGGCAGGGCTGAAGCCTGGGCTTTCGCCAGTGAGCCTTTCAGCCCAGCCTGGATGGAGCCAGTTTCTACCCAGCCAAGTCTGGCAATGCCCTTGTTTGTTTAAACAGCACATACTCACATGCAGAATAGAATTTTCCGTATGATTTTTGCCTCTTGATGGCCGTGGGCAAGAGCATAAATTTTGTGAGTTTAAGTTTCTGTGTTGTGATAAAATCAGGTGTAAGCGTGTATCTGTAAGTTGAGGACGGAGAATTGCACAGAAGCTCATTGGTGTGCTTTATTTTTGTCACACTAGATGTCCATTGTTGGCTTGCCCAAGTTCAGAAATTTTTCTTAATGTTAATTGTGGAAATGACTTACACTTTCGGTAGAAAAGGAAAAGGATAGGACTGCTTTCTCAAAATCTGTGCTGCTGCTTTGCACAGTTTGTTTTGAATGAGTGATTTTTAAAGAAAGGAATTACAATTTTTATTTTTATTTTATGTGTATTGCCTGCATGTAGGTGAGTGCACCCGTGTCGTGCAATGCCCTCTGAGGACAGAAGAGGCCATCAGATCCCCTGGGACTGGAGTTAAGGATAGTTGTTAGCTGCCATGTGGGTGCTGGGATTTGAACTTGGGTCTTCTGTGAGAACAACCAGTGTTCTCAACAGCCAAGCCATCTCTCCAGCCCCAGGAATTATAATTTTTAATGTGTTACTTCAAAATGAGGTATTATACATGCTGTATTTTTCCCAGTTTTTCAGAAGAGGGAAGTGGAACCTGATTGAATAAATTTAATTTTTCAACGTATTCAGTCTTGGGTAGACTCCTCAGCATCAAAAGGGGAAACTTGTCCTATCTTGTACTCTATTTAGTTTTAATTTTGATGTCTCTTCAACGGTCTTTTAAAAAGTCTTTACTGGTTATGAAGGCTAATCATTGAAAATCCTTTCCTGGAAAAGATAAAACTAATACAAAACTTTTATGGGGCAATAGACAAGATTTGAAATATGTTATTGTTCGGTCTTAGCATCGTTGGTTTGAATTGAATGAAATTAAGCAGTCATCCTAATAGAGGTATTTGTGAAAACATAACACCTGGTATTCTGTTTTGACCTTGCATCTGAATTGAAGGTCTGTGGAAAAACTGAAGATCACAAAATTTAGATGACCAAAATGGATATTCGAGGCGCAGTGGATGCTGCTGTTCCAACCAACATCATTGCGGCTAAGGCTGCGGAAGTCCGTGCCAACAAAGTGAACTGGCAGTCCTATCTTCAGTAAGTACTGATGTGCTGTGGATTGTGGCTGTCATGTGTTTCTGTATCAGGCTTTCTCATGGTCATGCTTCTCTGAGAGAAATACTGGAAAAATACAAGTAAGTGTAGAAGAAACATTTCCTCCTTAAAACAGTCAGCTGTCTTAGAGAGCCTGCCAGTGCTGTAGAAACAGCTTGAGGGGGTGGACCGGTTCATAGTGCTTTTGATCTTCTCTCTGCAGAGGAATCACCGGAGGAAAGGCAGGAGGGCCAGAACATGCCACATGAGCCCAGCATAGTGATCAGTAGTGGCTAGTGATGGTTGGTAACTAGCTCTAACTAGTAAAAAGTACTGATGATTTGAGTTTGGATTTTGGTTCTTGTGGCTGATTAAGTGATCTAAGACAAAGCACTTAATTTCACTGAAATTCAGTAAACCAGAGTTCTGTAATTGATGTGAAGTTTAAGGAAGATTAGCATGCAAAACATGAAAATGATAGTTGATCGGAGGTGGGAGTTTGTGTCTTGAGAGTCACTATCCTCCTTGGGGTTGCAAGGAACATAGTTTGAAAATTACTCCTGGAGCTGTCAGAGGTTAGTGGTAGAGTGCTTCTGCAGTGAGTGTGAGGGCTCCATTTGCTCGGCTCAAAAACCAGAAACCCAGTGTCCTCAGCATCACTGCAGTGACTGTTGAAGTTCTTAGCTTAGAGTAGATGATGTGATTTGCTGCTTGGTTGGACTGCTTGTTTACAGTGTAAGTAAGGGTGGGTTTGTGGGTAGCTAGCCTAGCTGGAGGGAGAAGCAGTAGCAGTTGCAGTGGTATAAGGTCATTAGAAGGGGCAGAATTGGGTGGATTTGAGAAAGCGTTCAGTTCAATGTGGGGTTAAAAAGTCAAGGGTGACTTCTGGATTCCTATTTTAAGGGCCTGGATTATTGTGGAGCTAGTCTTGGAAGGACATGGACGGACTCACTGATGTTTGCCTTCTTGATCAGTATCTGTAATGATTCAAAGCCTCAGTTCCTGATTTCTTTAGTCTTTCTAGTGTGTGTTTAGAATGAAAGACAAGAAGTTCCATGTTTATAAAGCTTGAATATGTTTATAATGTACACAGAATAATGTTGATCATAAAGCATTAGCAGATCGGCAGAATTTTCTCTGACATCAGTTTTGGAATGTTTACAGTGACATGGAGATTTTCATTTGTGCTTCATCTTTTCTGTCCCTTCAACCCCATTGCCTCTGTACAACATGCAGTTCTGCCCTTTATTCTGTTATCTGTTTTATACATTTCTTTTATTAACCCCTTCCACTCTTTATATCTATGTGCAAATGTTCACCACTGTGAACCATGTGTCTGCTCTTGAACCTGTTGATGTGGGGACACTAGTGGGTGTGAAATGTCTTTCATGAAAGAACATAGAGTGTTGGAAGCGGGACATAGCTTACGAGTGAATCTTGCACCACGGCATATACTGTTAACATGAAAGTCTGGACGAGTTCTCCATGACTAAAATGCTAATTTGCTTTTGCCCTCATGAATTAACATGCTATGGAAGTACATTATTTTAAAATGTATTTGTATTTGATTAAGCCTTTTTTTAACTAGACAGTACAAAAAATGAGTGGGTGTTGGTATGTTCTAGTCAAATTAGAGTTCAGTAAAACTGTATGTTGAGGCTACAGAAATCATTGAATACCAGCTTTGCTCTTGAGTTTCAGGTCTAATGAAGAAACAGACCTTTTGACAAATAATAACTGTGAAGTATTAAAATGGAGACATGTGATGCATACACGCACAGACAT